AAAAAGAAAAAAGAAAAAAGAAAAAGGAAAAGGAAAAAGAAAAGGAAAAAAAGACTCCGTTTATATGTACTTTTTAGAGGTTGGTGTTACGACGGAGGGATGACTGGAGGCAGATGAATTTTTTTGTATACGCGGCTTCTTGACAACAGGACACTTAGACAGATACTCGTCTGCTTCAGGTAAATGGAATGAATGAGTAATTTTAAGTTTGGATCTCAATTTTTATTTACCCAATCTGGGTAAGTATCCGCCCATAGACGAATGCTCGTCTGCTGCAGGAAAGTAGAACGGATGAAGTGATTTTTATTTACTCAATATGAGTAAGTATTCGCCCATAGACGAATACTTGTCTGCTGCAGGTAAATGGAACGGATAAAAAAGCTTCAATATTTGTGCAACCTTTATATTTTACTCAAAATGAACGAACAGTTACCCCTGGACGGATATTTACCCTTTTTGAGTAAATGAAGTAATTTTATTTTTTGTGTACCATTGTTTATTTACCCAAAATAAACGGATACTCGCTCACGGACGGCTATCCGCCCAGATTTGAACGAATGTTTACCCCCAGACAACTATTCGCCCATTCGTCCGCATTTACTTTGTTTAAGTAAGTTTTTTTTTAGCCTAGGTGTCATCCTATAGCCAACTTCATTGCCATTTTATCTATAACAATATTGTCAGAATATATCAACACAAACAAAGAAAGCAAGTTACTTACATTTCAATAATAACACAAGTAGAACACCAACAAAATAGCAAGGACTCATCTTATCAGATGCCAAAATACCACACACAATAGTTTACAACAGGAAAGCTTTAGATAGTAACAGAGTATGCTACATTTTATTATTTACAGAATATTTATATAAAAACAAATTAAGGAAAGAAGATTAGTCTGTAAAAAAATCTTTTAAATAAGAGTGGGAAACTTATGTCAAAAAATTGACCGTATCCGTGACGGAGACAGAATCAGCCATATCCGTGACGGAGACGGTCAAATTATAAAATTTCCCCGTCCAGGATACGGTCGATTTTTGAAAATTCCCGTCCAGCATACAAAATAGTCAAAAATTGACCAGATTCGTCACGGATACGGTCAAAATCGTTGTTAACCTTCACCGTGATTTTGCGGTAACTAAGAATTAAATTATGAAGCGGTACTACGGATACACTATACTATGTGGAACAAAAATGCTTATTAATAATTTTCTATGTACAAGGTACAACTAGTGAAAATGTTTGGCTTAATCAGGTTTGTCTTTCATTTATTTCAGAATTTTGGATTTTTTAATGCATTTGTTGTTCTAAACCTGATTGTACGTTTAAACTATTAAAATTAGAAATTCAAGACCGAAAAGAATAATGAAGTCAAGAGTATTGCTGAGAGGAAATGTCATTACCCATCTTTTTACAGTCATGGATTGAAAGTGACTACTTACAATGTCATTGCCGAGCGAGTGTCGTTCGATGCTCACTCGAGTCAAAAAAAAAAAAAGAAAAAAAAAAAACGTGGCCTGTGCTCGAGTACGAGAACTATGCTCGAGATTTATTCAAACCGGCGCAAGATCGGTACAAAATCGAAAAGTTCGAACACTATTAACTACATAAACTACACATAATAATGGCTAATGCCAATGATTAACATACACGATTGTATAATAGAGCATATAACCAATAAAATATATAACACCATTTAACGATTATAGACAGGGATAGAATTTTTATGAGAAACAAACAAAAATGGCCTTTACCTACCTTATCAGTAAATTTTAAACTAATGAAAATGCTCTATCAAAGCTAAAGCTTATTGAAAGCAGCAAATGATATTTCTCTATTCGAGCTAACATTCTTTAAAATATAAGAACTGTTATTTCACCCCCACAATTTTCGTCGGCCTACGTCTCAAAAGAAAGTTTAGTAAAATTGAAAGGATAAGAATAGACAATCAAGTTGATCATGGTCATTGTTGCTAATGCTTGTTGTATACACAACTATACCGCAGTGTATACAAGCCCTATTTTGTGACTTACTTCAGCGAAGAAACTCGAAATCCTAATAGCTATTATGTGTCACCTCACGTATACACGGTTTACACGCAACATCTGCATTGACAAATGATAAAAACAACTTATAAATAATACCACAGTTTACAATGCATGCATGGTCCACACATGCTTACTGAAATATGTTCACATTATAAATCATTCTCCCAGCCTGCTCTATTAATTGACAAGTATCAAAAGGTGTTTGTCCATTCCTATATAAACCATCCTCTAATTCAATAATAAGACAATATTTAATTTTACCCGGTCTCAAAATTAGCTTCTTCTTTATTTTATAAACTGTCTATCTTGTTTGATATATATAACAATGCTGGGAATGTTGAGATAAGAGAGTAGCTTGTGACTTAACTGTCCGCGAACATTGTATAGTGTAGTTTCCTAGCTGTCTACAGGTCCTACAAAGCCTTATTCTTCTTTCGGCATGTTCGAAATCAGGGGATTTCTTATGTCTAGAGAAATGTCATTTCTTCTAGCATTAGAGCTCAGAGATCTTCTTCTTGACCTGGATTTTTTGTAGCTCTATAATTATAAACAGCAAGTAATCCATGTTGGAAAGAAGGGATACCATTTCCTCTAGTTCAAACCGAGCTGAATTGGTAAAGCGGGTACGTAGCAATATAACGAGGCAATCCAAATTGCTTTTCGGATCCAAATCTTCCAAATGCTCGGAGCTAGGGAAGCATTCAACTATCCATTGTTGATAGAAGTAACAACTTGAAGGACTTTGATCCGATGCACGCATGTAATATTAGTTGTTACTGTGCATAAACGTCATAGTAAAAATTAGAGGTTTTCCAATTATTCACAACTATACAAAAGTCATAATTATAGCGCCTGTCTAGAACATCTAAGAAAGTTATAAAACGATAAATGCAGTTGTAACATTTTTGGTGTCATCCGTTTTAGCCTGTCTTTTTTTTTCGCGGGCTGGTAGGAGGAAATGTTAAATTATACTCTTTTGTGGCATAGAAGATTTATTGATCTCGGTTAAAATATCACCATATCGGCCTGGTGCTCAGGTCTTACAGTAGATAAACACCTTCGCTTGTTAGCAGGTGAATCCATCAAACTCCGAATACACCTTGAAAAATAAATGTAGAGATAGAAAATTTGTCAGTTCAATTGCTTCAGTGACAGCCTATACAAAAAAAAAGAATGTATATAGACGCATTGCTTATGAACTATATAATATTGAAGATTTCCAGCATGAGTGAACAAATACCAATTATCGAACATAAGCCAGTATATTTTGTCTTTAATCTTACAACTGGTAACAGAAAAAAGATCTCGGTATACATGCATTACTTCGAGAAATTTTGTCAGGACTGTGACATCAACAAAACAATGCTGAAATTTTTAAAAAGTATAGGATGCTCATTCATTTTGTCAATCGTACGCAAAAAATATGATACGCTTGTCTGCAATTACGCTTGAAAAAAATTATGAAAGGAGAACAACACGTGTCTTCCTGAAAGCTCTATCAAACGCATCTTCGCCTTTTTTTTTGCAAGGGGTTATCAGTCGCCAAAAGGAAAGCCCTTGCTCATTACTTATATGCACCAAAGTAGAAACAGCAGTCGCAATGACCCTTTTTTGTAGTTAGAAAAGAATCAAGATCTCGAAAACACATTGTACAGTAGCTACATACATTATGGCGTATGTTTAACGAACATTTAAAGATCAGGCACTCACTTCCAGACTCAACAGAAATAAATTTTAAGTCTTTAAAAAAGATTGTTCTTCCATGTATGACTCTAAAATACCACTAGTTCTAGGAGAAGAAGTAAAGAAACTCGAGCCACATTTAACTACTCTATTAAAATTTGGAACAAAACGTGTAATCCTGGATTGAATATGGAACTTTCAAGCCCACAAAATACACTGATCAGTGTGGATATCGCTTTTTTACCATTTTACTAACCTACAAGTCTGCAATGAAAACCATCCGAATAGACGCACAAGCTTTTTATCGATTGTTAAAGCAGTCTGGTGTTATCATTATAACACAATTATTGAAGATGAGTCTGGCCTATTTGACTTTTATATTGTTATGTGGATGTAAATTGTATCCAGTAATAATGAAATAAATTTTGAATTGACCAGAAGAATTAAGTAATGAAAGAAATGAATACAAGTAACGTATTCCGGTTCATCTTGACCACATTGAAAAACCAAATAAAATAATTACTGCTTTTGGAGGTGGAATGTTTAACAGCTGTCTTAAGGGAAGCAAAGCAACTTACGTTCGCCTTATCAAAATGGCTTTCAAAAAGTATTGCGGAAAAGAGTTTGGAGTTGGTGATGGTAGATAAATATTGGACGAGTCAAATCTGCTATAAGTGTAGTATTAAAACTCGTAACCAAAAATTAAAAACGAAGAGTACATGCGGTATTGAAATGCAAGCAAAATCATTGTAATATCGTGTGGAATCGTGATATTATGGCTTCTCACAGCATATTGGCCAATTTTTTTTATTTGCTGTAAAAAATGATAATCAACGTCTTGATGTTTTTGTTTTTCGTCAAGCTACGACAGATTTAAAACCTGTTGTTTGATTGATATTAATCTTTTATACTCCCGTACAGTGTAAATTGCATCAATTTGGTGGGTGTTAACTTTGTATTTCACAAATAGCCTTTGTATTTTCTTTAAAGGTAAAAAAAAAAAAAAAATCGTACTTGAACTTGACTGAAAATCCATTTCATATCTGTCTAAATTTCCATTTTGTTTCGTTTGAAAAAGGTAAAAAAGTATCTGAAAATTAATGTTGATGCATCTGGAAACAAAGTGAGATGAACTGTATCGGACATTCAATCCCGATGTACACACGAGATAATCTCGGTGGTGTAAGTCATCCTAAATCGAGACTGCTTTATCAACAAAAGAAAAAAGTTGTTACTTTTACATTTTTATCTTTTTTTCTTTTAGCAAAGATGAGTAGAAATATGGACACTTATAATTGGGGTTCGGCCAAAAAACGTTACGAATGGAAGGCCGAATACTCTTCTTCAGGAGTAGCACCTAGAGATATGGCCTTAGAGAAAGAGTTATTCGGCGAGGAAAACCACATGCACACCGGCCTTAACTTTGACAAGTATGCTAGTATTCCCGTCAAAGTCAAAGGTGACAACCCTCCCCCAGGTTTCGAACGTGTAAAATATAAACATTTGTTACATAATTTCTACAAAACGAATAACTCACCGGGATTTTTTCCATAGTTCGAGGAAACCAATCTTCACCCATGTATGAAGGAAAATATCGCTTTGGCCCGTTATAGTATTCCTACTCCTGTACAGAGAAATAGTATTGCTATTGTAACTGCCGGTAGAGATTTAATGGCGTGTGCTCAAACCGGTAGTGGAAAAACTGCCGCTTTTCTCATTCCTACCTGTTCAGCTCTATTTAGTCAAGCTATGACTCTGATTGCCAGACCCAATGGTCCTCATGATGCTCGACATTTCAAGTGTCGTCCTTTAGTGCTAATTATGGCACCCACTCGTGAACTTTGTGTGCAAATCTTCGATGAATCTCGTAGAGTATGTATTTAAAATAATGCGTAATTTATTTTACTAATAATTCCGTCTAGTTTTGCTACAGAAGTATGTTGAGACCTTGGTAGGTACAACTTCTTTTTCTACAGCACGTATCTAACAAGCTCTCCTATAGTGCTGTATATGGTGGAGCTGGTGTACAAGGACAAATTAGAGAAATTGAAAAAGGGTGTGATGTATTGGTTGCAACGCCAGGAAGATTGGTGGATCTTATTGATCGCGGTAAAATTGATTTGAGTAACTTGAGATACTTGGTCCTTGATGAGGCAGATCGTATGTTGGATATGGGTTTCGAGGGCGCTATTAGAGAAATCGTGGAGAGAAAGGGTATGAACAAAAATAGAGTGACATTGATGTACAGTGCTACTTTCCCGAAAGAAATCCGTGGTTTAGCTAGAGATTTCCTCAAGCCTAACTACTTATTCTTGAAGGTTGGTCGTATCGGTGGAACCACCACAGATATTACCCAAAAAGTAATGTGGGTAGAGGAACAAGATAAGCGTCAAAAATTGAGAGAATTACTCATGTCCCAACCAGCCTGTCGTACTCTCATCTTTGTGGACACAAAACGTAATGCTGATTCGCTGGATCAATTCTTATACGAAAGCAACTTTCCTGCTACATCTATTCATGGTGATCGTTCTCAAATGGAGCGTGAAGACGCTTTGTTGGCCTTCAAGGCAGGTACATGCCCTATCCTTGTCGCTACAGCTGTTGTCGCTCGTGGTATTGATGTTAAGAATGTTATGCATGTTGTTAACTATGATATGACCAATTCAATCGATGAATATATCCATCGTATCGGCCGTACAGCTCGTGTGGGAAATGCCGGTCTTGCAACTAGTTTCTTCAATAACAATAATTCACCTGTCGGAAGAGATCTTACAAAGTTGTTGATTGAGTGTAAACAACAAGTACCCGAATTCTTGGCCCGTTATCGCACAAATGATATGTAAGTTTTATTTTTTACATGTTCAAATATGACCTTTACTAATACTTTTTTTTTGTAGGCGCTTCAGAGACGACGAGGATGATGATTATTAAACAACGTTGCTTCTGTAATAAATATGTATTTGTGATTAATTAGCAGATTTCTAGATATATTACAAAGTGTTGTAAAAGTCTTTATTTACCGTACGAAATTAGCTCTCATTACAATATGAACTATGCTAAGATTCAGGTTTTCAAAACATCTATTTGTTATAACACGTCAACATATGATTTGAAGGTGCAAGCTAGTAACTCTATCAAAACGACTTGTTTTTCCTGTACAGCAAAGAAAAGCTAGTAATTTTTAATACATCTAAAATACCACCGTTGTGCTATTTAAATAGCAATGACAAGTTACCAGAGCTTTAGTGTCTTGAATGGCTCCAAATGAATAGCTGCCAGTACAGGATATGCTCTATCTTATTTGGTATTTTGTGTAGTCTGGCTAGAATAATGCAATTTGGAGTAATTAAGTTTGTTACATGTATGTAGCCGGCTATAATTGCAATTACCCAAAAAATACGATAAACTGTTGTAAAAATTATGTAGTGTGCTCAATCCAAAAAAAAAAAAAAAAAAAAAAAAAAAAAAAAAATGGCTCAGGGCGATAGTTTTTTCTGGGATAATGAACAGTAGAAAAACAAAAGGGAACTAGACAATCAAGTTTATCCACGGTTGATCTTCGATAACAGGCCTGCAATTTATTGCAAAGTTGTCAAACAGTAATATTATTTGCTTGTTTCTCTTGGAGTCTTGCTCGTCTATATTACTCATAAAGCGATTGAACATTATGAAGGATAATCAAACAAGCGGAGAAAATTTGATTTGTGTTATTGGTCATGGCATTGTAATTTGTACACCTGTGAGAGAAACGTTAGTACAAATAAAGAAAACCTGTGAAGAAGTGAAACTAACATATCTCTGGAGATCATATTTGATAACACAAGAATTTGCACTTCGTTTATAGGGCGCGGCGTGTCTACTATTCAAAAAAAAAAAAAAAAAAAATTAGAGACTCTATGTTTCCAAGTTTGTCAAAACTGATATATATATACATATATACTAGATGCTTTAATTAAGTAGATTATTTTTATCAGCTTTCTAAAAAAAATCTTCGGAAAACATGGCGCTAGAATGGTTTAAGTCTTGCATTGGAAGAACATTAGTCACGCATGACATACATAGAGTCAAGACTAAATCGTTTATTTAGTTATTTTAATAAATTTGTCCCGCTGTGGTCTTCCAAAGTTCTGTTCAAGAGATGGGTCGTACGATGATCAGTTTGGAGGATGTCAGTGGCTTTGGACAAAGCCTACCATATTAAGCTCGTTTGCAAAATGATTTTCAAACTATTCTCTTTGCAGAAAATTGCAACTGACTAAAAGTTTCCACTCGAGCGATCTTTACAGCTTCACAAACTCAACGGTCTTTTTTTAATTTACCAAATTTGTTTTTGTACTAACTATTGAATCGAAGTTGATGGGATTGTTAGTTGTTGAATTATCATGTATGTACATAAAAAAAGGGGGTAGTGAAGAGGGTATGAAGTGTCTAGAAAATTGTTAACATAAAAAATGGTGAGATTGTGGGTTATTATTATAGCTTTTTTGCTGACAGTTATAGAGGATAAGGTGATTCAAAAAGCACTCCCTGATTATAGACAATGAGTCTATCAACACTAATATTGATACAAAGACAATGACAGAAATGATGGATGTTACCGTATTTAATTTTTTTCAGTTAAATGTAATTGAACAGTTCCGATTAGTTTGTGAATATAAGCTTAAATGGGTAAGAGACCTCAACAATGAGAATCATATTTGCCTCAATGAGGTAATTATCAGTGCCCTTCAAGGTTTTTTTTTTATTTTTTCTCTTTAGATTTTTTAATACTATCTTGATAATCACCTTAAAGGAAAAATCTTCTGATGTATATATTTTCTATTCATTTATTTCACTCGTCCATCAGTTTCAATTTTGCATAAAGAACGCAACCACTTTGGGACATACACAGTGACTGATTTTTAGAAATACGGAAACTCAGCGCGTATTAATGTCGTCCCTGTCAAAAAAAAAAAAAAAAAAACGTTGGCCTTTTTCTTCTTGTGCTAAATGAATACGCCTGCTGAAATCACAAGCAACTGGTCTAATTGCTCAACATGCCAAAGCATTCGTTTGACAATCAAGCCAAACGTAGATGAGAAACCCGTTCTTCTTCACTCTGCCAAAAATCAAGCCTTGTATGACATATTGTATGAATTGTGTGAGCGCTATCCACATATCTGGAGAAGGGATGCCCAATATCATTTTTACATTGAAATTGGTGGTCTTTACCATACGATTGACGATCCGACATGGTTGAGAGGTACAAAAAGTAAAAATAGGTTTTTGTGTATGTCCCCTTTTTGATGAAGTTTAGACAAGGACGTGTTGATCGTAACACTTACAGAAACATTGGAGGAATTACCTTCTGTAAATCTAAATGCTGGTAAGAACAGACCAACAAAAACTTATTTATTGTCGTTAATGATTTGGTTTAGTTCATGCTTCATTGAGGAAAAAGATCGAATTGCGCCCTCACCAAATTGAAGGTGTAAACAAAATGATTTTCATGGAAAAAGCATATCGAGGTGGTATATTGGCAGATGAAATGGGTCTCGGGAAGGTGAAATAGTGTGACACATTAAAAGACAAGAAAATGATTGATTAAATGAGAAGCTGATAAATTAAACATGTAGACTGTTCAAACACTTATGGTTATATTGCGTCAACAGCCTGTGTTAAATATTCATGCATGTACACTTGTTGTAGTACCCTCTCGTGGTGTAAGGATGGATAGCATTTGTAAAATATTGTAGTTTAACAATATACGTAGATTGCAGATCAATGGGCAGAAGAAATCCGTACCAAAACTACATACGGTAGTTTGCCTTACTTCATATACCAAGATGATTCGGCTGCACTTATCGAACGTAAGTACTACTTGGTGCTATCACAATATACTTTCTGACCCCGTTTATAGAACCGTGTTTTCGTATTGTCATTACCACTTATGATAAAGTTCGATCGGAATACAAAAGGGAGGCACACAATCGATCTCTCCGTCAAGGAAGACTTGAAGATGCACCATTATTCAGCGTCGAGTGGCATAGAGTTGTTTTAGATGAATCCCATAAAGTGAGAGCCAACACAATGTTATATAGTTCTGTCAAAGCCCTACAAGCTAAGTTCAGGTGGTGTTTATCAGGTACACCTTTCCAAAATGATGTGACTGAATTATATCCAATCTTTTCATTCCTGAAAATTGAGATGGATCTGAAAAAGAGAAAAGAAGATGATTATATGAAAGAGCTTTTAAAAACACACATGATCCGAAGGACAAAATCTGCTTTGCAATCTGAACTGACAATGTTACCACGACAAGAAAGACGAATAGTATTAGAATTCACACTTCCAGAACGGGCTTTATACGATTATCTAGAGCGATTATTATACTATCAATTGAGTCGAATCAAAGAGTCTGGAGACGGAAATTCATTGTTGACATCATCGGCTATTCTATATTTGAGATTGAAACAGGTGTGTGGTCACCATATGATTTTGTTGGAAAAATTCCCAGATTTGATTCCTTTGGCTAGATCTGGAAACGACGAATCGCTGGTAACAAGTTTACAAGATGTAGATGTGCAACGAGAAAAGAATTACTACGATGAAACATCCGAGTTTGAGCAGGCTTTGGAAATCATTGAAAGTTACTAGTAAGTTATTGTTAAATTCACGATAGACGACTTTACTAAAAGTATCATCATTGTAGCGATCAGTTTGGAAATTTACAAGACCCTATCGATCTTTCACAATTGCAGAGGTTGAAGTTGATTAAGAATTCTACAAAAGTGCTGTGGTTAGCGAATTTTCTTCAAACATTACTAAGTGAAGATCTGTCAGATAAAATCGTTGTTGTATCTCAATTTGTGGATGTTATTACAAAAGTTGGCGAGGTATTAACTAATGCAAGAATTCAATGTCAAGCATGTAAGTTTTGTGATATATCTCTGAACACGCAACTTAATATACGTATTAGATCATGGTGGTATGAGTATTTATGCAAGAAAATGTGCTTTACAAAAATTCAATCATGACCCAAAGGTCAGAGTTTTAGTCATGTCGTTAAAGGCTGGCGGTGTGGGTTTAAACTTACAGAGAGCGAATCACATGATAATCATGGATAGATGGTGGAATCCTGCCACGATGGATCAAGCAATTGCCAGAATTCATAGAATGACTCAAATAAAGGAAACGTTTATCCATACCGTAGTAATCAAAGATACGATCGAAGAATCTTTAATGGATAATATTTTAAACAAAAAGGTAAGCGACAACTGAAATGTTTTGCGAATCTGAAATTAATTACATGATCTTTGTAGAATGCATTATTCCGTAAAATTGTTGAGCGTCATGAAATGATGGACGAGAACAACGCTATTCATTCAATTGAACACGGTGAACGAACAGCCCCAGAATTACATCAAGAAGAGCCACCTCTTCAAAACCCGATTGCAAAGGCAGAACCGAAAAGAGTAGCCATGGAATATTTAGACGATCAAGAATACGACGTAATTGAAATGGAATCAGTCGGGGATATAGAGGAAGAAGTGGGCAATCAGAAAGATGAAGTGTCAATAAAAGAAGAGCAAGTTGTGCAGGTGCTTGGACTGACAGAAAGAAATTTGCTTAAAAGACCTGCTCCAATCATGGAAATAGATAATTTCGATGAGTTTGAAGACTTTGACGAATTTGAATTTGACACGTTTGACAACGAAATTCTTCGTGACATTGAGAACGTTATTGACAAGAAAAAAAAGAAATCACTCTGACATTGTTCAAAATTGTCTGAAACTGCTGTTTTTTAATAAAATTATCCTAAAAACATGACCATTGATATATGCAAATGCCTAGTCTTCCTCGGGTAAGCTTGATTCATTATATCCATCCAAGTTTTCAATTAGTTTCATTGTAATAGAATCAGAGAACCCATAAAACTAATTAAGTTGTTAATTATAAAGCTTATTACTCATTTCTTAATTTGATTACCAAAGGACCACTCACACGAGTGCTACTAGATTTACTTTTAATACATGCTTCTGTCCAAGGTGCTGTGGGTGTATTTCCTGTCCAAATAGTTGACTTATGCTGTACAGTAAAAACTGGCGCTTGACCTTCAGCCCCTGCAGAAATACCCATTGTATAATCATTGCCAAAATGGGATTTAGTTGCACGGTATCCAATAGGATAAGGGTGCTTATACTTGCACTAACAAAATATAAGTAGATGCATTCAATTCAGACATAATACCTACTCCTCGACTGCTCCACGATTTCGATCTCCCCTTTCCGACATTTAGTTCTCCAAGTGACCATATTGTTGTTCCAATGCTTCCTAAAGTATATTTTAATGAGTATTCATTCGATTGAATGTTACATTACATACGAAGTGTGACAGGTACGCTAATCGATTCTGGTAGATTTAAAATCAACTTTTGTTCCTCCTCTTTTCTCTTTTCGGCTACTTCAAGTTGCCTGACACGATCATTCTCATCGACTATCTCACTTAGTTCTGTCTATAAGATAATGGTTATTTACAGTAAACTTATTCGATAAAAGCAGACATACAAATTCTTCAGGGGATTCACCTCTAGATCGTCTGGATAAACGTGTAGGTGTTTTAGGCCTGGAAGGTGCTCTTTTATAAGTGCCTGTACGTTTCCTCTTCGCTAATGGTTCAACCTCGGGTATATCCTACATGGAGTATGCGTCAATATTATGAAAATGAGATCTTTTTTTATTTATTTTACTGCCGCAATTCCTTCTTTAGCATTCAATCCTAGTTGCTTCAAGAGATTTTGATTCTCCTCCATGTTCAGTTTTCGTTTTAATTCATAGTCGCTATTGTTTGTATAGGTTAATTTCCAGGCTCGAATTAATTTTATTGTTTTACCTTAGTTGTGAAGTTGGCATTCTTTAAGCAGAGGAAAAAAGTTCTGTTGCTTTAAACGATAAAACCGCGTTTTAAAAAATCAAATTTTGACGTGACCCCCGTGGAAAGCTGAGGCGTTTTAAATCACAAGATTACAAGCCTCGATAAGTACGACTTTTCAATACAGTAGTTCCACCCTTAGAGTTCGTTTTCCAGAGGATCGAATCCGCTTCTATTTATGGCTGAAATTCCTTTTTATTAACAGCCTAAGGCTCACTTTGAAAATTCGTTTTTACATCACTTGAAGCTCGTTTTTGTTATAAATAATGTTTTATTCTTTGACTAAATATTAAAAGATAGAAAAAAGATACGAACCCATTTCATTTAAAAGCGTTATTGAAATATTCAGGATTTTTTTTTCATACGCCCAGTGCTTTCACTCTCAATTTACCGGATGTCTAGAAATACCCCTCTCCTTTTTTTAGATATCTTTGACAGACTTATGAAAAGTTATATGACTCAATTAGAAAAACAGGAGGTAAATTTGGTTTGAATACGATTTTCAAGGACTTAAGTACAAAGTGTTCGGAATAAAGATCGAAACTCTCGAGCGAGCATCGATCGTGTTCCAGTCGAAGCTCGCTCCAATACGTTTTTTTTTGCAGCTCGAGATCGCTCGTAGTTTCTTAAGCTCGGCTCGGTTGCAAATACGATAGCTCGAACTCGCTCGCCCTTTTTATTACACAAAGTGCACGTCAAAGTGATGTTAAATAATTACAGAAACTTATGATAATAAAATGGGTATTTATTGAAATAAAAGTTAGAAAAGAAAAAAAAAACCTTTTTTTTTCACCAGCCTTAACACCTAATTCGGATACTTAAATCAAACTATTACTGCATCTATAAATATAATACAGTTGGATTTGTGAGCACGAAAGTTTAAATTGATTCTGCTACATCATGTTACTATGGTTGCTGTAAAAATTTGGCTTATTTGGGTTTAGTGTGCAGCACTGTGTCATTTTCTATGCTAAATGTGTTTGCTGGTTGTACAACTAAATAAAAGTCCAAAGCATTTTAGTTGGAATTATTAGAGCATAAACAAAAAAAAAAAAAAATGGTAAAGGGAAAAAAAGATTAAAATCAAGGGGAAATGCCATTACTAGCCTTTCAAGGACCTTAATTTTAAAGTGGCTACTATCGACATTTTAGCCGAGCGAGCTTCAATCGATGCTTGCTCGAACCCAAAAAAAGTGGCACAAGCTAGAGTACAAAAACCCGGTTCCAGCTTTGTTCGAACTGGCGCAAGGTCGGTGCAGGCTCGAAAAGTTCGAACACTACGTTGCACTCGCGAGCGGAGTGAAAGGGAGTAAAAATGGTATTATAAATTGCAAAAATGTTGACTCGCGATTGGTTTTCATTTATTTTTCAAGAAGAAGAAAATAGAATAGTTAATTTCAGGGATAATGCAAACTCTCGCGGGAAGACGCTTGTATTAAAATTGATTATAAAAGAAAAAGCTTT